ACTCCTCAGCCCTGCTCACCCGAGCACCAGGCAGAGGAATACAGACATCTCACCTCACACACCCTACAGACATGGCACCCATGGCGACCAGACAGAGGCACCATCAGACAAAGGCTGAGGACCGGCCTGACTGTGTGCCAGACACTATGCTGAGGATCAAGAGGGAAGCCTCCTTCAATCCTCCAGCAGCCCTCCAAGATAAACACCGATCCTGGGCATTTAAGCTCGGGTATCAACTAGACTGTAAGAGACACCTACAAGTGATTGAATAACGAGGACTCCATCGCATAGATGGGGAAACACAGCAATGAGCTCATATCATAGCTGAACGGCTACAAGGAGGTGGGGCCTAGTTAGAGGAAATGGGTCACAAGAAAGGAGGCTTTACAGGGTGCACATTTTCTCTGGAGCTCTTTCCCTCACTCTTTCTTCTTCCTGGCTACCATGATGTGAGTACCTTTCCTCCATCTTGCCCTTCTGCCATGATGTTTCTGCCTTGCCAGAGGCCTAAAGCAATGGATCAGCCAACCATGGACCTAAGCCTCTGAAACTATAAGCCAAAATAAATCCTTCCTTTTCTGAATTGTCTTTCTTGGGTATTTAGTCACATTGCCAAAAATTGCCTGACACAGTTACTATTCCTTTCAAAGAGAGTGAAGCAGATCCAGACAAGGAGCCAAGTGTTACCTAAAGAGAGACGTGAAGCCTTTGAATCAGGTTTCTGACACTCACTCCTGAGCTATAGGCTGTGATCTTCCCCAAAGATACCCAGGCAGCTGCCCCTCACAGTAGCTGCAACACTGAGCAAGCAACAGGTATGTGGACCTGCAGGACAAGAGCTCTTCAAAGGCAGAAAATTCCATCTCTTTTGCTCGCTAATGTAGCCCAAGCTTCTAGAACACTGTCAGGCATATGATGAACTTATAATAAATATTTCTTGAAGAAAATAGAGATAAAAAGTCACCATGGGATACAAATATTTAGCCAGCCAAGCACCTTGGTCCCGCACCATTGTGTTATCCAGTTTTCTATCACTGTGACAAAAATACCTGAAATAATCAACTTAGAAGGAAAGTTTATCCTGTATATGTTTAAAGTATTTCACTTTGTTTTTTATTTTTACATGGGGCTAAGAGTTTGTTTTGAGTCAAAGAGAAGACTTTGGACTTGGACTTTTCATCAGTGCTGGAACTGTTAAGATTTTGGTAACTCTTAGAGATGAATAAAATGGACTTTGCATAGTGAGATGCACATGAGTCCTTTGGAGGCTGGGAGGTGTACGGTTAGGATCCAAGATGTCACCCCAACTTTATGTGTGTGGAAGGTGACTGGATCAAGGGGGCGCTCTACTCATCAGCAGATTCAACAATGGATAAATTCAGTAGCTGAATATGCTGTTAGCAGGGAGGGCCTGCTTGGACGTGGGTCACTAGGGCTGTGACCTGGAAGGGTGTGTACTTGTCCCACGCTCCTCCGCTTCCTAGGTGCCATGGGCCGGGCACCTTTTTCTCTGCCACCCTGTTTCTGTCATGGAGACAGCCAACCACAGACTGAGTCCTCTGAACCTGTGAGCCAAAATAAACTCTCTTCCTCCTGTAAGTTGTGAGTGTCTGGTAAGGTAATTTGTCCCACAGGGAGGAAGTAACTAGGACAAGGAAGAAAGTTTTATTTGGGCTCCAAGTTGGAGGTTTCGGCCCACAGCTAGCTGGCTTCTGCTCTGGGGTCTGCGGTGAGGCAGCACCTCGTGGTGGGAGCACACAGCAGAAGAAGGTTCTTATCTTGCGGTGGCCAGGAAATGAAAAGGGCAGGAAAGGCTTGCGTCTCAATATCCCCTTAAATGGCTCACCCCATTGATTTAGCTTCCCTCCATTAGGCTGCATCCCTTAAAGGTTCCACTACCTCTCAGTAGTTTCACGGGCTGGCAACCTCATCTTCAACACACAGACTTTTGGGAGTCACTAATCCAGACTGTAGCAGTCACAGAGACAGAACACCCAGCCCCCAGTGCTGAAAAGAGTAGAGGTTTTTTTGGCTCACACTTTGAGGTCTTCAGTCCATGGTCAGCAGGCTCCAAGGAGAACATCGGGGTGGAGGAGTGTGGGGAACCGACTGCTTAGTGCACGACAGCCGGGGAGCAGAGAGGTGAGGCGAAATGTCAAGAGAAAGGGGGCAACGGTGCCCTCAGTACCCGATTCCGTGCCTCCACTACCCACCCAGAGACACCCAAAAGCGTGCTTTACTAATTTGCTAGCTACTTCTTAATACAGTCAGGCTGACATATCAGGATCAATGGTCACACCATAGCAGCCTTGCAATTTGAAATTCAGATTTTGTTCCTTAGGCCTATTAGTAGAGTCTCACAATACAATTTTAAGTATAATGTAATTGGCGATGAGCCCCACTATCAGCCTATCTCACACAGGAAGTGAGGGAGGAAGGTGAAATATTTACTGGTCTTAGAAAACAGTGGGCCTAGCTGGCTGAGCCCCATCAGCACCCCTCGGCCGGCTGCACAGGCTCTACCTGGCCTCTGCGTTTAACCTCCGCCATGCAGCTCCTCCGTTCCTGAGACTGAACGTGGGAGCCTCCTTGTGTTAGGGTGGGATTTCTCAGATCTCCGTGTGTCAGAGAACTGGACTTTCCTGGTAAACATCACCATGTTCAAGTATCACCTGGATTTAGGACATAGCCCTGCGGCTCTTGTATGCTCTCCGGGGCCCTGCCAACAGCCTCACCTGCTCAGATATGATCCAGTGACCTGGACATCAACTCAGTCTGGAGTGATAAATACCTTCAGGTGGTGAGAGTGTTTCTCCTATCTTGGTGTTTGACTAGATTTGCACAATCCATCAAGTGAGCTTGTTTTGCCCTCCGGATAAAGGCAGAATCAAGGATATTATTCTGACTGTGAATTCCTGGCATTTTTTTCAGGCTTCTCATAAGCAAAGTTAACCCTGCTCATCTTCTCTGTATTGCTCAGGAGGGTTTGTGAATAACAGGATCATGGACTGTGATGGTAAATAGGGCCTCAGACATCACCTAATGCAGGGGCTTTCAAATAATTCAGATAGCGGGACTCTGCCTAGTCCAGCACGAGTTACCCCTAAACCCATCACCTCATATATGTGTGGTACAGAACAGCACGGTACAGCTGGAGAGCGTAGCATAGAAGTTACACTAATTACAGTAGAGTGCGGCATGCTACAGCGTAGCATATTCTCTGACAATAGCTGTGGACAAAGCCGGGTGGTGGCTCGTGCCACCCTCCCTCCCAGCCCTGGGCCCAGGCTTCCCTGGGATAACCAGGCCCCGACCAGCACAGTCTGGCATTGCTGGTCTCACCCCCACTTCACTGCGATGATCATAAACGAAGGCCCAGGAGGCAGAGCAGCTCACTCAGTACCACAGCCAGGCAGAGTGGGGCCGCATCCCATAACTAGGGGCTCCCAGGCTTTCTGGGGTCCGCTGCTAGCCCAAGCCTGCTCTCTAGCACAGCGCAGCCCTGAGAAGGAGCTGTGCCCCGGACGAATGCGTGGAAGGAATGTGCCTCACCCCATCCAGAAAGCTCCAGGCGGGATCAGGCAGGTGGCGACATGCTGTGATCACACCTGGGTTCTGAGTAACTGTGTCCCTCAGGACAGAGATGGGGCTAAGACAAAGTCTGAGCCCCACCCCCAAGGACACAGCACCCCTCCCTGACCTGATTCAGACATGAAGATGGAAGGAACAACAAAGCTGTCACCGGCCTTGACCTCCAGCTCTTAAGGAACGTTTATCTTCAAAGCATGCTCTTAAGTGGTGCCGAAAAGCAAAGAAATACACAAAAACCACAAAACCCAACATGACTGAGAAAGGGAATGCGGGAGAGAGGGAAACAGAGGGATGCGAGGGACGGACATGATCAAAGATTGCCATGTGCTTGCGTGGAAACGCAACCATCAAACCCAATGCTTTATCGTCAGTATAATACGCCATCGTTTCAGGGTCATGCGCACAAAGCAGATTAGAGACACACCGGGACAAAACAGCACCCTAGAAGTCCAGTGTGAGTAGGCTGAGCCTGGAGAACCCAAGGTGCCCAGGCCCCAACCTCACCAGGGAGGAGAGCAGCTTCAGGCCGCAGAAAGCCAACAATGGGGAAGGCACCCAGGATTCCCTGGCCCAGGGAGGCAGCCTCTGCCCTGTGACTCCTGAGCAGGGAGGAGAAGGGACCTGGAAACCCCTGGCCGGCCAGCTTCATGGGCTCCTGCCAGAACTGCTTGGACTACTACAGAGCAGTACAGAAAAATCATTCGGCTCCGAGGCCCTGCTCTAAAGCCCTTCCCTTCGCCCGCCCAGTTACTCTCCCCCTTCGAAGTGTGACCACATCTACTGTGTCCAGCTGGAGACCAGTGTTTGCCCTCGCCTCAAGTCTATTTCACCTTAACCTGGTGCCAGCGACCAAAATGGGAAGCTTGCTTCTCGTCCTGCACCCTCAGCTACCCTGCAGCTCCCTCCCCTCTGCCCTGCTTGGCCACCTCCACCGCCCTCCTCCACCCTCGCCCGGGGCGCCTCTCCCCTAGCTCTGCGGATGGTCACGTGGAGCCTCTGCCTGGAACATGCCAGAAATCCTAAACACTGCGGGCTTTGCAGTGCCTGCCAGGGAGAACAAGGAGTCCTGTCTCGGACTAGGCTCTGCTCAGGCAGGATGGGAGAAGCCTTATTAGGATGTCCGGCCTGAGAATAAACTCCCCATCCGGCCATCTCCGCCCCTCCCCGAAGCCCAGGCAACACTTCCCCGTCTGTGTCCTCTGCCCCTACCAACGTGGACAGGAAGCCTGAGATCTGACTTCTCCCCCAGAGCCCATCTGTGTGGCCCCGTCCTCCTGCTCTCCTCACACCTTGCTTCTCCTGCATTCCCTTCTCTGTGAGCTCTGTTTGCCCACTCTGCTGAGGGACGAATGCATCGTCCCCACGTGGGTTGCACATGTGGTGCAAGGGCAGTGGGAATAGACACTCACGGAATGAACTCCTTGCACGCCAAGATAGCCCACCGGAGTGAAGTATCTCACCCATGTCCCGTGCTTCTTATTCCCAGCTTCTACAGATACAGCAGTCTGCATTCACACAGAGAGGGAGAAAGCCCTCCCGGCCTTTCCCCAGCTAGTCCGTGTGGCTGTTACAGCCTCCCACCATCCTCCTGGGACTATGGGCTGCTCCAAATCAGCCCTTCACTCATCCTCCATGCTCGGCACAGGAGCCTTTCCAAAGTCTAAGAGCAGCTGCCCCAAGCCTGGGGCTGCTGCAAAAATACCAGCGAGCCAATCAGGAGTCCCTGTCCCGCCAGCTCAGGCCTCCCACCACCCCTCCTGCCTACAGAAAATGCTTCTGTGGGAAGTCTCACAGCCTCAGCCAAACGAAGGTACAAACACTCAGGGGTCAGGGGCACGACGTGTGAAACGTTCACCTCCCCCATGATCTTCCACCCCAGCCCACCCACCTCCAGGACTTGACCTACCTGTTCAAAGTTTTCATGTTTTCTTATTCCCAAAAATCCTTATAGAAAATATTAGGTTGTGAAGTTCTATGTGTGAAAATCAGAGCATTTAAAGAATCTGCCAGCTTGTTTTTTATGGCTAAGTCTGTACATTTTACAAATTTTCTCTCTCTGGCATGATTTTTATTTTCTCCTTTAGGAGAACAGTCTCAGCCCATTTTTTTCCTGCTGAGGTGGCTTGCAGCTAACCTGGATTCCTGAGACGCAGAAGGGGCTTGCTCAGTGGGAGAGCATGAAGTGGGGTGGCACGAGCCCCCGAGAGGGCACAGAGCACATCCCACATCAGTGTCGTGGGCTGGACACACTCTAGGCAGTGCACGTCACAGGCCACTGCGTGGCCACCTGCGTGGCTTCAGGGTTTATGGGAGAGCCGTCCCTGCACTTAGAATCCCTCCTCTGCCCTTTATTAGCACCTGCACCAGGGAACCGTATTCTTGAACGCCAGACTCCACTTACAGGTAATAAAACTGAAACTGCAGAGAAGCACAGGGTCTTTGCAAGCTTTGAAATGTGTTCAAACACATGTCCAGAGGACAGCGTTCCCGGAGTCATCGTTAGTAAGTCCACACCAATCGCAGTCCCAGCAAAGGAGTTTTTCCTCAGTGCCAAAGGTGAACAGGAAAGAGAGCAACTGTGAGGGCACAGAAGATTCAGGTGGGAGTGGGCACCCAACCAGAGAGGTGAACACGGAAAAAGAAACTGAGGACACTAAAACAAAGCTTTACGGTTTTCCCATTGAGGTTATTTCTGTGGGATGAGCATTCCTAATATGAAATTTCGAACTCTCCAAAAGCTGAAATGTTTTGAGTGCTGACATGATATCACAATGGAAATCCCACACCCAATGTTCTCTGATTGGACACAGCCAAAACGCAGGGACACTAAAATACCATGTGAAGTTACCCACAGGCTGGTGGAAAGCTGTACATGAAACACAGGTGACTTTGGGGTTTAGGTTCGAGTTCCCACCCCAAGTTATCTCAGTGTAAGTAAATACTCAATATTAGGGAGAAAAACTCTAAATCCAAAATACTTCTGACCCAGGCATTTCAGTTGAGGGATTCCTGGCCTGCACTGAAGAGGTTTACACCTGAGGACTCTGACTACAGTTCCTGTCCTGTTAACAGTGACCTTAGCATGTAAGACTGCAGAGTTAGACCAGGATCTGTGGTTATTTGATCATCAAGCGCATCACAGTCATGCATGCATGTGGCTCAGAAAGAAAGATCTGGGAGCCTGTCCCAGAAGTTTCTATTTAACTGGCCTGGTTTATAGCCCAGGCAGTGGTAAGGTTTTTGTTGTTGTTTGTTGTCTGCTTTTGCAGATTTTAACCTGCAGCACAGTTGTTTTCAAAGTTCCTTTTTAGCTCTAAGTTCAGACTGTATAATTTAGGAGCCAAGCAGCCTTGCATTGGGCCAATTTTCACTGCCAAGGTGGGGCCCAGGGCACCTGCACACCTCAGGTTCTTAGGGCTGAACATGCAGTGTCTGCACACAGCAGTGCTGTCTCCTGGACATCCTGCCACAACTTCTGGGGGCAACACAAGCCTGTGGTTGTTCTCGCTCCTCTCCATCTTGAAAGGATTCGACAGGGAAGGGCAGAGGTGGCCCTCAGGGGTGAATTCTTGATTGAGCTTCTGAGATCAGGATTCCCTGCTCAGTACTTATCAACAGCCGTCAACTGGGTAAAAAAGACACACACACACACACACACACACACACATACACACACACACACAGAGCATCTATGAGGTTTTCTTCTTTTCTCAGGCCATTAAATTCTTAACCTTGGAAAGCCATTTTTAAATGCAAAAAAACAAAAGTTGGTGGGGGAGGGGGCAAAAGTAAATACAATCATAATTTATCATATTGCCAAATAGCAGAAGCTTCATTTTGACGCACTTATAGCTGATAAAGGGAGAAGACTGCCTGCATCTGAGGCCAGAAACAGAATTATCAGCATCAGCACCAGCACATCTGCTAATTTTCCTGATCGCCTCTGAGCATACACTGCCGCCTACGTCCGCCTGAGCCAAAGTGACAAAGAAAAACACACACGGGGAAGAGTCACCACATTCTCAGGAAAGCCAGGCTTTTCAGTGCTTGGTGATATTTTTATTCATCCCTGCAGGCTCTGAAATTCCCCAGAGCTTTCTTAAATTCAGGCAAATTTGCCAATTCTCAAGTTGCCTCAGAAAAATGCCCATTTCACAATAATGAGTGTCTCTTCCTGGAGACGCACATCTATTGTGATTTTCCCATCCCTCAATACAGATCCACTGGCAAACCACCACTTATGGCCTCAAACTCCATCTGATTTCCATCAAATGTACTCTTTGTAGTGAAAAGAAAATCCGAGGCGAACTTTTACAAGGTCAGCGAGATATATCTTTGCAGGTGTCACGCTGTGTATTTGAAAAAATTCAGAGAGGTACAATTTCTAGAAAATAGCCAGTTCCTGAACCTGCTGTGACTTCTACGGAGGGATGGGAATAAGAAGTCAGCTCCTGGGCCTCTCATCAGCTGTACATGGGAGACCCTGAGCAGTGCAGATGTTCGAAACACACAGAAAAGCCACAATCCAGGGAACATGAGTAAGGACATGGGCTTTCTGCATACCTGACCATATGGAAAGTGAGTTCATTTTATTCCAGTTACGTTACGGTCAGATGAGAAAGTGTTGTTGCCAACGTGGAAAGCCAAAACCTCATTCCAGGCACCACAAAGCTATTGATTTATTACAAAGCTTCAAAACCAAGGACGGAAAGTAATCTTATTCCGGGAGCAGAGCCATCCTCTAGCTACAGTCGGGCCGCAGGCAGCTGCCCGGTCTGACATGATGAGCATCACACTCTGCCCGGCGCTTGACATTTCCACCGTGAGGGTCCTTCCTCTGTGTTCGGTGCCGTGGCTTCCCTGGCTACTCTGGATGGACACTGCCTGGGATGAAACACTAACTACCATACAAGGCACTGATTTGAGAAAACTCTACCCTCTTCTGAGTCGAAGCTCTTCCAGTAATTTCTGCTCAGGCACCTACTCTACAGAGACTAAACATAGCTTCCTGTCCCCAGGATGGCCAGCCCGTCTCCTGAAGCCTCCTCTTCTCAGACGCTGACCCTGAGTTTCTTCCACCCATTCTAAATGATGCAATTGTTATATGCACCAGCTCTCTGTGGACCTACAGGGTAATGTGTGGTGTCCGATGCTGGGCCCATTCCCCCGGAAGTGATTGTCCCCGCAGGATGGCAGGGCATCTGGCCACGGCTTGGCTGTGGTTTCTCACCGCAGGTTCATGCTCTGTGAGTCTTGTCGGTCCCCATGGTAGTGAGGTGGACAGAACCCTCCAGGGTCACGACAGCTAGAGAAGCACTCCACCTGCACCTCACAAAAGTGGATTCGATTCCTCAAAAGAACATCCTTATAAAAGGGTGAACCTGATCCTTCTCCGCTGTCTCTTGCTTTCTCTCCACCATTTGTGAATTGCTAAAAGGCCCTCGCCAGATGCTATGCTCTGCTTTTTGTACTTTCCAGCCACCAGCACTGTGAACCAAATAAACTTCTTTTCTTTATTCATTAACCAATATCCGTTATCCTGTTATAGCAACATGAGACACATCAAGACAAGCCTCTCTACTACTATGGAGGATTCGTTTGCTTTATCTTTCTCAGTGCCCTACAAGGACCTATTTATGGTTTGGGACAACTCTGTAATGGATCACACAGAGCTTACAAGGAACTAGAACTTTCTGAGGCTTCCTCACATGAACTGCTACAAAACCAGATCTCTTTCAACCTCAGCCACCTACATGTATGTCCAGACACAAAGCATGGATATGTAAATTAATCTCAGTTGCATTCCTTTGTTGTTGTGGTCTGTCAGGGTCCTAGGACTGTGCCTCATGCCTCCATTTAGGACATGAGTGATCCCTTGGGGGCTCTGGGTCATCTGTAAAGGTCCTTTGATCCTAATCCAGTGTGACCGGAAAGTAAGGAACCCAAGTGGCACCATCAGAGGCGCCTTCCCAGTGGACACAATCCTCTTCTGAGCACAGAGATCTGCAGCCAGATAGGAGTCCACCTGCAGACTCACCTGGCTCTCCTTTCTTATCTTATTCTCAGAGATAGAAGGCATGGACTCTCAGATTCGCAGTGGAATTCAAAGGAGGCAGAAATTTCTGTCCTTTTTAGCTCCCCCCTTTGCCTTAATCTTTCTCCTAGATTTGTTGCTTTTCTACTGAAGGTGAGACCAGGCTTCCCCCCTGGGATTGGAGCACAAAAGCCAATCTGCCACCTGCCACACCGTGCCTTCGCCCAGATAGGCCACCTTTCAGCGTCTCTGCTGGAGCACACAGTCACTAAACTGGGGCTTTTCACAGGCCGCTCCTCCCAGGCCTCCCCACACCACCTGGCCGGGCTGTTAGGCAGCTTTTTGTTGTGGTGACCAATGCTTGAGATAAACAAAGGAAGAAGTTCGTTTTTCTCAGGGTTCCGGGGTTTTCGGTCCAAGCTCAGCCAGCTCCGTTGCTCTTCAGCCATGGAGGCAGGGACGTCCTGTTGGAAGAGTGTGGCAGAGGACTCGCTCACTCCACAGCATCCAGGCCACCGGGGGAGAGCTAAAGAGCCCAGGGGAGCGGCCGGGGATCATACAGGGCCCCGAGGCCACCTCCTGTGACCCACTCCTTCACTCTGCCTAGCTGCTACTTCCTTCCCTCCCGCTGGTGCCACCCAATCACGGCCTCCTCAGTGGATGAATCCACTGATGAAGTGAGAGGCTTTGTGACCCAGTCTCCTTCCGAGAGGCCCTTCTCTGCACGTGAGAGACTCTGGGGCGCAGGTCAGACCTAAACCGTAACACAGGCCCGTCATGCTTTGCATCCCTCCTTGTGCTGGGAGCCTCCTTCCAATTCCTCGGTTTACAGTAGGCTCCTTGGGGAGGTGCCTACTGCTTCTCACTGCTTCTTCTGCTATGTTGTTCCCAGTGGGCATGTGAAACTCAGCGAGGGACTCTGGTCAGGGCCTCCCTGGATCCGGGCAGGAGGGGCCTGGCGCCGGGCCTCAGTAGTGAAGAACTAACTTACCCGAGGAGGAGTGTAGCCTTCGCCCCAGCTGCTGAGCTCCCGTGGAATGTCTCGCCTAAGAAGAGGCTCTGTATCTAAGGGCGTTAGCCTCTGTGCAGCCTAACGGTTTATGAAGGGAACTTTGAGGTTTACCACTGCAGGTTCAGGCCCTGGAGTACCAACCCACACCTCTAGAGGAAGCTGGAAACTAAAAGCCAACCTTGCGGGCAGTGTGTGACAGAGCGCCAATAAAACTGGGGACACCGAAGCCTCGAGTGAGCTTTCCTGGCTGGCAATCCTCCGTGTGCACGCGTTCAGGAGAAGGTAAGTGCACTGGGAGAGAATGACCCAGCAGAAACTGCACTGGGACCCTTCCCAGATTTCTCCCCATGTGTCTCTTCCCTTGGCTAATTTAATTTTGTAAACTTTCACTATACAGAAGACAATAATCTGTAATTTTACATTTTACTGGCTAGCTTTCCCATTGCTTGGATAAAACAGCTGACACTCGCAGTTTGGAGGAGGAGAGTTCCAGTGTGGCCCACTGTTTCTGAGGTCCCAGTCCATCGCTGGCGACTCTGAGGGAGAAGCATCATGGTGGATGGGCAGGTAGAGGAGAGCTGCTCACCTGGCGCCACCTGGAGAGCAGAGAGGGGAAAGAGCCTCAGAAAGGAAAGGGCCAAGCACCAGGTATAGTTGTGACCCCCAAACCCACTTCTTCCAACTAGGCTAACCTCCTGACGGCCATCTGGCTGTGGAGTCCTGAGCGGCACCCCCACCATCCAGCCTCCTCGTCAGGAGTCGCTAACAAGCCGGACTAGCTGACGACGGTGTTTCCCTAGGTTCTGCAAGCCATTCTAAAGAATGGCTGAGACTCCGTGTGACCCAGGGTCCACTAAACTTGTAGCTGAGCTCTGAGGTAAGGACAGGCCTGTGGGACTGATCCACAGACACCGGCATTTGCCAAGCCTCACTGTGCTCCTCAGTTTGGGGAGATACATGCTGGCTTTTGTCTCCCTTTCCTCTCCTCTGGAAACAGGAAGTCCCCGTGTGGGTCACCCTCCTGGTGCAGAGTGGGGCCGGCCGTGTGTGCTGGGCTGTCCCGGTGACCACATATGTGTGACTGAGGCCCTCAGCAGCATCTGTGAAGGAGAGGCGAAAGGAAAAGCTGCGCACAAAGTCAGCACCGGTTCTCTCCATGCCGCCGAGTACCAGCGTGGAATTTCAGAGAACTGAAGATTCAGAAACTGAGCATAAAGCTCAAGGTCATTATGAAGTTATTTTGTTTTCAAAGCAACAAGGTAAAGCATGTTTTGTTTCATATACTGGCTGTTAGCCTGACTGATAGCCTTTAAGAATCTGGACGTGGTACGTGTGTGCTCGTGTCTATTTGAACTCTTGCCTCGGGCCCTGAAACGTCAGAAGCCAGCTTGTTGCTGACCGTAGCAATTCCAGGTTCAGAGGCTGATAATCGTATCTTTTAAGACAGGTTGCTAAAGGTTAAGTAAACAGCACATCTTCATTCTCTCAGACTACCCTGAAACATGTGCCTTCAGATGTTAAAAGGAGATTTTATTTTTCTTCTCCTGATATCCCACAAAGCTAAGAATAAGACAGCAGACACTAAATCTTCTCTCATCCCAAAGTGAGTGCCTCACATTGCTTAGTGCCGAATAACAACACAGGCCAAAACTTAGCGGCCTAAAACACCCCTTACTTTCTCTAAATGTCTTTGGTTTAGCAGTTCAGACAGGGAAAGAAGGAAGAGGCAGCCTCCACCACTGAGTCCCAGGTCTCAGTTGCAATCCCCAGGGCAGGGGGTTGAGCTGGCTCTGCTGTGCCACCCTGCTTGGCCCTGCTGTCTGTTTGGTTTCTCAGTTCTCCTTCTGTACCATCTCCACGCAGCCAACTTTGGCTTCCCCACAGCAAGGTGACTGGGTGGTCAGCCTCCCTACCTGGCTTCCAAATGGCCCCTGAGAGGGAGCTGGAGATGCCAGGCTGCTTCCAGGCCAGGTCTGACACTGGCACAAGGAGGGAGAACCACAGGGCCATCCCAGGTTCAGAGGCATAAGGCAGGAATGGCCCCATGTCTCTGTGACCAGAGCAGGATGTACATCCAGGAAAAAAAGGAAACAGTGGAAACCAGCCTAGGAGGTGATTTACAGTGATATGTGCAGAATTTGCAAAGGAGGAGACTGGAAACTGCAACTAGTCCTAAACCAACCAAAAGTGAGGTGGTGTCACAGCTCCAGGTGGCAATACAGCTCCAGCTGCATGAAATGAGAGCTCTTCTTTGCAAAAAGGTCTTTGGAACACTAAGGCACTTTTCCTCTCACGCCTCTTCACCCCAGCCTGGAGGAAGGGTTGCAGGGAGACATCATGGTTTGCTGCATCTGCCCAGCCTTTTCTTCAGTGCACCTGCAGGGTACAGCTTGTGGCATTTGCCACACAGCTCAGGGCCTGAGGAGAGCTGCCCTTCAGAAACCACGAGTGCACAGCTCTACTCACACGAGCAAAAGGCAGAGCACCTGAGAGTCCATGAGGGGTGAACGGATAAGCAAGATGGACTGGACTCAGCAGTCACACAGAGCTCAGCACCCAGTCCTGAGCTGCATGTGCGATAGTGTAAGAAAGTTTCCTGCTGGGCTTTGGTTCTATACTTGCATTTTTATTTCTTGTTGGACAACTGGGCCTATGGGAAATGTCAACATGGTACCCTGGCTATGGCCTTTCGCAAGGGCCAGCTCGTCTATGAAGCAGGCAGCAGTGACCTGGGAGCTGGCTCTAGTGACAGTCGTATGCAGGGCCCTGGGCCGATGGCACCCTGTGCTCCCTGGAAGAGAGAACCCTGTGATGGCCGGGCCTGCCTGGCCCCAACGGGACTTCCGGACAGGACTGGGGCCTCCCAGAGTGCTGGATTAAAAATGTGCACCACCATGCCTGGCTTCTCCTTTCTGTGTAGCCTGACCAGCCCTCTGGAACTTTATTCTTAGGAGCAAGGGTGCTCTTTCAAAGCTCTTATTTTGACATCTTTCCCCACTGGTTCCATTTCCAATTCTTGCTCTTCTGTGTAGAGTAGAGGGTCTGCATGTACATTTGGTGTACATCTCACCAATAACTCTCCAGAAAATTACTCACTAGTTGATTTAAGTGTGGCCTCAAATCCCCTGATTTTTGTCTTGGAAGTGAAGACGACTCCCCTCCCTTGAATCTGGGCTGGCTGGTGACTGCTTCTGCTGCTGGTGGGAGCGGGGATGGGGCGGTCTCAGGGGAGAGACTGAGAGGCAGGCCGTGGGCAGCACCTCCTGGGGCTCCCACACTGTGATCTCCAGATTGACTGTCCAAGATCAGCCTTCTAGCTGCCCCCTCCCCCTGCCAGACACACTGCAGCCACTCGTGTGCATGAACAAGCCACCTGGAAGGGTATCTTCCTACCCAGCTGCCAGCCTCTGAGCTACCCTGTCGCTATGGAGCAAGGGCAAGGCAGTCTGAGCCATGGCAGGTCTGAGCTCCCTACTGACCAGCCAGCATCACAGGTTCGCTGTGTCTGGTCCCTGTCTTCTGGGGTGCATTTACACATAGCATCGGTACTTGGGACTTTGTTTCACATCTGTCCTTAAATTAGTATTCATACCAGAGAGCTTTAGTGGTTCAATAAATGTTTAAAAAAAGAGGGATTTGCGGGGAGGTGGGTAGTACAGCTCCAGGCTGCATGAAGCCCAGGTTCAAGCCAGCTTCTCTGGATTTGATGTGGTTTTGTTTTCATGAGAGTTTTCATTTCTCCAGTCTTCATACAGCTTCCCTGAAGGCAGTGCTGGCTTGGAAAAACCCCAGAGCCAGAGTAAGAAGAGGGTAGTAGTGGCAGATTCTTCCACTTGTGGTTGCTTCTTGGAGCTGCCGGGAGATGAAAGAGACAGGCATGGGTTTCCTGCTGCTCCTAACTGGGTCACAGCCCATAGTTTTGCAAAGGCATGGAATAGAAGGAGGAGGGGAAACAACAGCAAGAGGACATCCATGCAGCAACCTGGGGATTCATCTCTGAGTTCCTTTACAGGAAGAGACGAAAATATCACTACTGACTGATAGCTTTTTCTAATGTGAGGGAAATATGTGCCATACAGGAGCTGATGGTGGCCGTCAGCGTGCATCGTACAGTTAGAATTGCTTCTACATGCAGTATACAGCTCTGAGGAGGCTCAGGAGGGTGCGTGAAGCTGTGTGATTCACTTCTGATCTCTCCAGCTTGGGGGCTCCACACAGGGCAGGTCATGTGATAGACTCCTCCATATTTGTTTGAGCTGAGCCAAGTGAGTTGCTCCAGACCACACCATTGCAGGATAGCTGTTCTGGGGCCGGGGATTCACGTGCTTGGATGGCAATCAATAGACAGTGATTCCAGCTCAGCTAACAGAAAAGGGAATCAATGAAAGAATTTGAGGAAAGGCATGGAGTTTTAGAACCAGGTTATAGAGCACAGGGACGGGCACTTTCTTGGGGTTTAGACCTTGGTGGCAGTCTCATCCGTGTACTTTTTATCATGCTGCTCTTAGTTTTCCCCACAATGAGGAACTATGATTCAAATCTCAGAAAGGATTCTAGATTATGAGGGTTCAACTCATGTAGCTTGTGGCAAAAGAATATCCTTTAACTAGAGAAACTCACGGTGCTTTGAATAAAAATCTTATGTCATAGGAGAGGAATAAGTCCACCTCCTTCCTCAAGATGGGATGTTCCTAACAGGAAGGCGAACAGGTGCTGGGCAGCACTAAAGCAGCAAAGTCCTCCCCATCAGCCCTGATCAACCTTGCTCCCGAGTCCTCTCGCTCTGTAGCTCGAGGAGATTGCAATGGCTTGGATCTGGTTTTTCCCCCAAAGCTCAGGACTCAGACACTGGATCCCAGTGTAGTGATGTTAGGGGGACCTTTAAGAGCTGGGACCTAGTGGGATACTCACAGATCCATTGGGGAGCTGCCCTCGGGAGGATTTATTAGTTTTCATGGACCGTGGATGGTCCTTGTGAGAGGCTTGCTGTGAACAGCAATGGCCACTTCCCTCTCTCTGGCTTCCTGTCTCACCGGGGGCCCCTCCCTCTCCCCTGGGCCCCACCATTGTGATTCCATCCACCATGAAGGCTTCATCAGAGCCACATGGAAGCCACTACCATGCTCTTAAACCTCCAGGACTGAGAGCTAAATAAACCACCTTTCTTTTCAGTTTCAGATATTTCATTATAGTGACGGAAAGGGAACTAAAACAAGGGATTTTGTCCTCTTACATGGCCCTGTATGGAAATATTACCCCACCCCTCCGTGAGAGGTGCTTCTAACAAGAGGGAAGAGACAGAGGGGACAAGGGACAGACAGGGCCTTCTGCTCTGAGCTGAGTGTGGACACAGCTGGGGAAAAACCTTCCAACCCAGAGCAGATCGGAATTTCATATTATTTATTACCTCTGTGCTACTATTTATAAGGGATTTTTTTTCTGTTTCAGCCAGAGGCTTGATAAATGCAATAAATGTGGGGCAAACGCTGATTTAATGTCACGTATGGGATGATGTAATCTATGTAGTAAACAAGAGTAGCCATCAAGTTATAAATAATATTTTACTGCGATATTGAATAGGTCTGATACCAGATGTACAGTAAACACACTTTATGGAAATTCCTTTCCTTTGCAAAGATGAGGAAATGATCTATAATATAAATTTACATGTGTGCTGTGCATGTGGGCTTTATTTTGCGCTTTTTGTATGATTTGTTGAACTCTTTTTGGTCGCCAACACAGAATAGGCCCAGTTCAGCATTCTCTGGTTTTGTGCAGCTAAATCACAGCACAGAAAACCTGCATCATTCATTACATCGAGTTCTAAGTCCAGCCTAATGTTTTAAAGTTAAATTTCATAGTTACTGAATGAAGTACATCACCCAAAAGATGCAATGTCTTTTCTTCAATCCATGATTTTGAAGAGATGTAGAATTTTCTCTTACTTGGCCTATATTTTCAGGGGGCACCTTCATAGAATTCTGAGGGCAGAATTGGTCCTACACCTTGCTTCCTGCCAACTTCTGAAAGAGCTAAGACCAGGACGATCCCTCTAGCTTTGAGGTCCTGCCCTGTCCTCTTCCTTTGCTTTCTGCACAGGATCACAGGCTGGAGGTAACAGGGTGACAGTGCACACCCAGGCCCACACCCCTCTCAGCACAACTGCCTTCCCGCAGGCAGGCGCCTCTTTCTCTTGAGATCACAGGAAAAGCACCCTGTTTCTTCATCCCCAAAGTAAAGAGAGAGCATGCTTAGTGCTTCTGATCGGAACTGCCTCCCAACAGCGAGGGGTAGGCTAGTCTTGGCTGTGCTCTTTGCAGAGCCGTTGAATTCAGCTTTTGCCACTGTGAAGTAGGTGTTAGATTGACAGGCCACACACTGGATCATAGTAGCCCCCTTCCACTGCTGTCAGGCCCGCAAGTCCACCCTGGTCTGGACCAGACTGATGTGTCTATGCTCCATAGGACCCTTTGTCCAGGGAAACAGCTAGGGTTTCTGGACCTTCAGAAACTTTCTCCATGTTGCAATAGTATTTTGCCTCTTTATCAAATTCCTGCATTATCCTGTGAACTTGGGTGCAATTAAAATGGGATTTACTTATCTCTGTTATTCCAGACCAACTGGCAGAACTCCACTGGGCAAATTCAAGATGGGGAAGCACCATCTCTTTTTCACTTTCTCCTGACAGCACTGTTTTCCAAGTCACAAAGTCAAGTTTCTGCTGTTGACCAGGAAAGCATAGCCCAGCTCAGCTGTGTTTTAGACTGAAGAGGGAGAGTGGCAGGATAAGGGCCGGGCTGGGGATGCAGAGACAAGGGGAGCTGAGCTACTTCCTGAGCTCCTGGACTGCCAGGGCCGTGGTGTCCCTGCGCTTTATCACGACCCACCCCTCAGCAGACCAGGCTGCCTCCCGGGAAACAGGGGTACCAGCCCAGCAGACACTGCCCTGGCCTTGCCAGGACGCTTGGGCTATGAACAGTGCCATAGCTCTCTGCTGGAACATGGCAGGAGGCTCACGACCACGACTGGGGCTTGAAGTCCAGAGCTTGTTTTCCACTCCTCCCAGGCAGGCCTCCCCAGTCGTAACCCCAACACCTGCGGAGGCCTCCTGGCCTTTCTGTGCAGAGCTGTCCGGCCAAGGACCGCTTCACGGGCTCCAGCCGTGTGGGCCAGTGGGGACGGGCCAGGCCACAGAGCCTTTTCTGTCTGAACCCTGAAGAGGGGCACCTTCATCCACCTTCATCCTGACCTCCCCAGGGTAGGCTGGGAAGCAGCAGAGCAGAAGGCAAGGCAGAGGACCCAGTTTCCCAAATGGAAACTCAGATATTTAACACTTGATTTTTAAGAACCCTTCTGGAAAAGTCTCTCTTGGATGGTAAAGTTTGGACACATCCAGTGCCTCCTCTTCTGGTCCATTTTCAAGCAACGCCCACCTTCAAATCTTGCTGTTAGGAACCAAAGAGGTAGGAAGAGCATTAAACCCAGAAGTTTAAAGAGAACAGAAGCCAGATAGATGCTTTCCCTCTGAACAGTGTCTCCACTGGCTCGTGGGAGCTACAGGGGGCCATGTACGAATGCAGGGCCAATTTGCAGGGTGGTGGCAGATTCTGGATTCCTAACACGCTCCCAGGTGACACCGAGGCTGCTGGTCCTCAGACCACACTTTGGGCAGCAACAGCCTAATTCATAATAGCTTCGAATAGAGATCATTTTAGCAGCCACAAATGTCCCATCAGGTACGTTAATATTTACTCACTGGTTCATGTACCCTTCCAGCCGACATTTATTGAGTGTGTACCATGCAACTTCCATGCTGGGAACCAGGACATAGATGGCCCAACGATAGGTCTCAGGATGCCCAGTGTTCTCCTGTGAGCCCGTGAACAAACTCACCCTGAGAGCTCAAGGGTGATGTGCTCTGCTGTGAGTGAGGCGGGTACAGAGCGTGTGTCGCTGGTCACACAGCAGATGCCTCAGCAAGCGTCCCGGAGGCAGCGTCCCAATCCGAAGGTGCCAGAGAGACCCCTACGTGACGCACAGCTGAGCCCCACACAGGGTGCGGCGTCATGGTAGAAGGCCAGAAACTGCTGCAAAGAAAGGGGGCAGGAAGGGAAGGATGGAAGGAAAGAGGGGAGGGAGGGAGGTGGGGATTGGGAAAGACAGGTGAAAACCAAATGGCAAACCCCCTCCTGGGGAAGCTGTCCTACTTTTAATTACATGACATTAATTTTCTTTTTATGACCATACAAATAATATGGATTAGTATAAAGTAACTCAAATGATCAAGTAAGCAGTCAAAGTTGGCAACCCTCAAAATCCCACACACCAAGGCACAGTAGCAGTTTTGTGTATATTAATCTACACTTTTTACAATATACAAAAATGTCTATGCGTATGTATGCTAGAGCTCAGCAGAATGATGCGCTGTACACTACCTAAAACTTCCTTTATTCACTGAACAATAGATTGTGGGGTTTTCCACGTGTTAATTCTTTTGATTCTATTTAGTCTGTGTTGCTATAATAAAATACCTGAGCTTGGGCAATTTATGAAGAACAGAGATTTATTCCTCACAGTTCTGAAGACTAGAAAGTCCACAGTCAGCGGGGTAGCAGGTTCAGTTTGGGGTAAGGGCCAGGTCTCCGCATCATAGAAGTCACCTTGAACTCTGTGCCCTGGGGTGGCGAAGTTCCGGACAGCAGAGGGACTCCCTAGTGTCCTCCAGCCCTTACCAAGGAACTAATCACTTACTAAAGGAGTGATGGCAAACCTTCTAGAGACAAGGGCCCACACTGCAGCCCCAAACACACTTATCACAAAGTGCCAACATTGTAATTACACCTGAATACTGAGGCTTTCCTTTAGGAAAAACAACGCATCCATTGACATCTTTTGTCTTAACAGAAAAGCAACACACATGCTCACCACCCCTGTCCTATAAGGCCCTACGGCCTAACACGGCCCCTTTTCACCCTGCCACACTGGCGATGAAGCTTCAGCACGTGAGTTCTGGGAAACACCCGGAGCATAACAGCCTCTGTGTTTTCCAGTGTTTTGCTTTGTAATTTCATTGTGTAGCTTACCATAATTTATGTCACCAATTTCAACTGGGGGACAGTAGGACAGTTTCCTTTTTTTTTTAACTAAAATAAAAAGTGTAACTGCATTCTTGCATCTTTGCATTCTTGATTTCCATGAAATAAATTTAAAGAGAAATTATGGGGTAGAAAGGAAGTGATCCTAAATTTTGGCATCTTGCCCAAGACACAGCTGTATGGATTTCACACTGACGAAATGTGACACAGCACAACTTTTACTATGTTATACTTGCTAAGCTAATAGGATTTTACTATTGTTGTAACTTGTATTTCTGATACTTCAGTGATGCTGAGAAACATATTATCAGCTATTTTATGTCTTTCTTTTGCCTATTTGTAGCTCCTTGTTTATCTCCCTGTTAGGGTTTCTTGTCTTATTGATTTACATGAGCTTTCAATAGTGTCTATTTGTCCTTTTAAATTGCTGTGTGTTGTAAATATTCTTTATAAGTCAGAGGAAGCTTTAGAACTGATTTTAAAACAGGGACTTTAAAGTCCAACTCCTGTACCTATACTATAATATCATACTGAGAATTGAATCAAAATGAAGCACCTAAAATTCTTACTACAGGGCCTGGACTTAGTAAGTGCTTTTAAAAGTCATTTCTAATGAGAATCAATGTCCTTTGTAACATCTTTGAGGGTGTGCGTGGCTAGTGAAACAGCTGTCTTAGTATTTCCTCCTCTTGTGTCTGGGCTAAGGAAGGTCCTGTCCTTCCAATCCTTAGGGCGCCTGTCTGTGTTTTTCCATCTCCCACCTTCACCCGCTGCTGCCCCATCCCTCCCTCGCTGAGTGCCCCTGTCTGCTGCCTGTACCACTCTCTGACTCCTCTGCTTCATGCACCTTGCTCCCCCACTGCTCAGCTCCCCGCCCAGGGCCCATGGTCACCACCCCTTCTCTCCCACCCTGTGACCTCCCAGCTCACCTATCTGTAGAGCCCGGCCGCCTCCTCTCTTCCTTCCTCTTTTCGTCCAAATTCCTCACGGGGTCGCTGTGATTCCCTTCTCTATCCCAGCCCCTCTGCCTGCTGCCTGACACACTACTCACTGCTTACCCTCGTGGAACTTGGGCTCGTTCGCAGCACCCAGTGGGGTCCATGTCCCCTGCATAAGTCATTTGCTCCTTCACACCCCAGACTGTGCCACCCAAGTCACCCTCCTGTTTTACTTCCTGGGTTTTTCCAGGTCTTTTCTGCAGCGTGTGTCTCGTCCTCCCTGCTGGGAAGTGAGCTTCCTTCTCCATCCATCTACACCCGTGCTCTAGGGCACCTTATCTACTCTTCTGATCCAGATACCTAAATCTGTATCTCTAGCCCCTGTTTCTCCATGAAATTCAGATCTACATATTCAGCATCTGATTAAGATCTCAACTTGGGTTGCTCACAAGAATTGCTGATCTGACATGGCCTAGGGCAGGGTCACCACATACTCCGTCCAGCTCGCGCCCTGCCTAATGTTAGCCAACAAGGGGTGAGGAGGGCTGAAATCCAGCCTGGTTAGGTCTCCAGACTGTGAGTCCTGGGGCAGGCTTTGCCCACACTGTGGACACGATGCTCTTTCTACAGGAAGGGTCTTTTCTCCTTTTCCCAATGGAGCGAGCCCTGGCAAAATACAGCTTTTGATTTCTTCCTTCCCTCAACACACTGCCTTCGGTATGTGCCACCATTCCAATGGGGAGGACAGAGGGGAAGTGAGGGAAGGAAAGGAAAAGAAAGGAGAAGAGAGGAGGGAGAGAAAGGGGAGGTGAGGGGATCTCTAGCTGCTCCGTCTCTGTCTTACGCAGTTAACTTCCAGCGCATTTTGAATTCAGCCCCTTTCACCCGTTCCGCGCACGATGGTCCCTGTGCCTTTGTCCACAGAGCCTCTCAGTTCCTCTCCTGACCTCCACCCCCGCCCATCCTCCTCCTCCTTTGCGCTCACAGATGCTTTCTAAGACCCGTGCTTCTCCCCACTCACCAGCTCCACATCCTCCAAGGTCCCCCACATCAACCAGAACCAAACTCAACCCTGCTCTCAGGTTGGAGCTTTTCTGGTTCCGTTTTCTACTGCTGCGGCCTGGACACGCTGACTTGCTCTCTGCCTCAGTTCGCCAGGCTCCCTGCTGTCTCTCCACTTTGCACCGGGCACACCCTCTCCCAGACGTCACACAGCCAACTCCTTGTCAACATTCCAGCTTGATCTGCGTGATCACTTCTCAAAGCACCCTTCCTTGACCTCCTGCTTGAGACCGCCGTTTTCCTTCTCATGCCATCACGTCTTCTTTCGCACCCCATTGCTTCCGCCATGACCTGCCTGAACATCTCTCCGATGCCCAGATCTCCACGCCCGGCCCCTGCCCTGTCCCTCCAGCACCTACAGCAGTGCCTGGTAAACAGCAGGCACTCGGCGGTGGATGGAGTGGTACAGCCTGAGCGGGTCACAGGCAGACAGAGGCAGGAGAAAAGGGCAACAACGAGGACGAGGAGACGGGAAACAGGCCGGAAAGTAAACACGGAAACCAGCAAACTCCACAGAGGAGACCAGGCTGCACCTAGGTGTCCACAGCAGCCCGCGCCAAGTGCTCTGCCCAAGCCCTGCCTCCTCCATGCCAAGAGACTCTGCCTTCTGGTCCCGGGATGCAGAGAGCGGGATGGCTGAGGGCCGCAGGTTCTTGCTTCTCCTTCAGCCCGGGCAAGGGCTGAGCACCCGCTGGGTGGAGTCGGGACAAGCGAGTGTAACAGCTCACACTGGCCGGCCTACAGCGGCACTGTCTGAGCAGCCCTCCTCTCTGCTCCCTTGCACGTTTCCCTGGGTCCTGCATGGGAGCAGAGCTCAGTGCCCATTTGGGCCTCTGCGGGGAAGCCAAGTGCCATGGCTGCTGCAGCTGGAGCTCACCTCTCGCAGGCAGATGAGCAAGGCCAGGCCCCAGCACGGACACTGTCCGGCGGCTGTCTGCTCACTCTGCTTACCGTCCCTTCCTGTCAGGTCAGGAGTGGGGGCCTTGTTCCCGACAGATCGTTTTACAACACAAATCTTTTCCAGGGGGCCTTTTTCGATGTTATTTTATTTTTATTTTTGCAATACTGGAGATGGAACCCAGGGCCTCATGCCTGCCTGGCAAATGCTCTACAATGAGCTCCATCCCTAGCCCTTTCCAGCAGCCTTCAAACACATTACAGCAGTGGAGGATGCTGCCCAGGGGTAGAACGCTTGCCTAATATGATCGTGATCCCTGGCACTGAAAAGCATTCTGTTCTTGAGGGAACACAGAAAGGGATGGGCCACCTCCCCTAGAGAGAGCCCCAGGCTGAGATCTAAGTCGCCGCCTCTGTCTCTTCTGAAGTCATTTCAGCTCTGATATTCACCGGACAAAAAGCTGTTCAACCCTGCTTAGGATCAGCAAGTGTGGTAGGAGGAAGGATCAAACAGGGCAGGAGAAAGACAGGTACAAGTGGTAGAAACAACAATATCCCAGCTGCACTCCCACATGCGCCCAGGCAAGCCCTGTCCTTGCTTTCAGTCCCCTGTAGCCTGACAATCAGCAACTCACTGATCTAAAGTCAACAGCCCAGGATATGCTTATCTCAAAAGCCATCTCAGATGTGTTTTTCTGTCCTTAGAAGACAGACAGTCATAGCAGGCACAAGATGACATCAACAGGTCAGTCACTCGGGAGTTCTCTGCCAACTTCCTGTCTGCTTGATATATTAGGGCTTTGCCTGAACACAGGCTTTGGGAACCAAGTATGCTGTGCAGCCCACCTGGACCAACTCTTACAGCGAGCACCTGTTGGTCTCTCCTACATGTCAGCCCTGGGGTCTACTCCCCCACGTTTCTTCTGCTGGGAATACCAGAACTCTGGCACCACTGAATTGCATGTGAAATCCTGCAGGACAGAGTACGCTGAACCTTGAAAAGAAATAGATACAAACCCTAACCTTGTATGGTCGTGAACAAGGGCAATGACTTGCAGAATACTGAGCAGTGACTACCCAGATAAAAATTACTCTGTGGCAGGGACTCAAGTGCACTGTGCCATAGACTACATGGTTTATAAAGGAGAGATCTGCTGATTAAACCGACTTGCTCAGTACATGGACTGCAGCCCAGAGCATAAATTTAGCCAGATTCCCAATCCTTAGTCTGTACCAGTACCCGGCACACAGGGGAGGATTCTTTCATCCCAGTGCAAGCTGAAGAGAAGAGATCAATGTTGCGTTTCTCTGGAAGGTCATCTACTGTGCCAAGCTAGGGCCTGAGTAGTGAAATCAAATCTCTGTCTCTTCTTCCCCATTTAGAAAGTAAATGCCCCATCTTGGAAGGCTCACATTCTCTGGATTCCAAGCATCCAGTGATTTGAGAACTCAATTGGCAATTGGTTTATTGACACTGCTAATGTTTGCAAATTTCCCGTTGCTTCCCCAAGTCCATGAGAACTTGGAAGAAACATTTCTTTGTTCATTCATCAGACCAGTTTGTGTCTTTCCAACATGCAATAGATCTAAGTCACAGACGTGAGGGGTGACTGTCCCTTCATTGATGGTGTGGGTATCCTCAGCTGATCTTAGACAGGGCTTTCGTCCTTCCTCTCTGATCTCTCAGAATCCTTCTGGAAGCTGTGTTCTTCTCCTTCTAGGAGTGTGATATTCCCGGAGAAAGGGGGACAGTCCTTCAGAGCTGACTCGTGTTCAGGCCAGAATTGCTACCTCCCAGCTTCAATCCTTTCTCATGAGTCTCCCTGCCCCCTGATCTCCAGCACCCTGTTAACTTGAATTTTCACCTCTCTCTCTGATTAGCACATGCCTTGGTTTGTATCTCTGTGTCTGTCAGTTCCCAGACTCACAGCTGTGTCAGGGAAATACCAGGAATAAAATTATTTGCATATTTAGAATGCAAGAGTCTTTATAAGGAGACCACAAATCATCATCTATTGAGACCCTTGGAAACACAGAGCCACTGTGTGGGAGGCTGGGTGGGACATAGAAATAGAGGTCATCACTCATGTCCAGGCTGCTGGTCACAGAGAGGCATGCATTCTGCTTTCTAATAAAATCAATAGACTTGTGGAAGAAAGCAGGGACATTTGGAGAAAGGGTGACTCTTGAGTCTAGGATGGGAAACACAAAGAGGAGCTGAGGCATCTTATTGGGCCCCAAAGCAAAGAATCTACCAAAGATGAAGGGTGCCGTGAAAAAGGTGGTGTGCTCACATGAATGGACTCGCACTGGTCAGCGGGGAGCCGCATCCACAAAGGACTGGGGACTGCACCTGCGAGAGACACCGACCACACGAAAACCCACGAGCACGGCATGGTCATCACTGTCGTCGGCACCACCTGGACATCTCATCCTCTGCCAAAAACAAAGAGCTTTTGGGCACCTCTGCAATTTACTAGGACACTAAGTTATTACTCTGAAAATAAACAGCCAAAAGGGGTGGATTCAGGGCCTGAGCAGCCTTTGGTATGTGCGCTGTGCAAAGAGCAGCCAGCAGCCCTCATGGATGATGGAACACTCACTTCGGGGAAGGCATCTAACTCATCACCGCGGAAGGGTGGTGAATTTCTAAAGACAACCTTTGGCAGCCTCTAACGAAGCAAGTGGTTCAAGCCACCGTCCTCCAGGAGAGTCTGCAGAGGGGCTGCACAGTGCAGACCTGGGCGCCCGCCGGCTGTGCCCCTACTTCAGTGAACATCACAGAGCGGGCAACATGGCATTGTGCACAGCTCGTGGGACAGGGCAGGAAGGATGGGGGTCGTCATGACTCGACTCTTCCTTTCCAGAGTAATTGGATCTAAGCCAAGCCATCCCTCTTCCCTAATTTTCACAGACAGCAAACACGGGGGCTAAAAGAAGAAAGGAAATGGTACCATGAGGAAGGAGACACACCAATCCAGGATGTGAACATTGTTCAGAACAAACGACCCAGCTTCTGCCCTCAGTCAGTGGTGTGAGGAAGATCAGGGCTTCTGAGTTTTAAAAAGAGTTGAGAGACACAACAAAGCCAATTTGGAGGCCGTATTTGGCTCCTAGTTTGAAAAAACTTCTAAAAGATTCTTAACTTAGCAAATTTCATCACAGACTGGTTACAAGACGACAACAGGCCCCATAAATATGTTTGAAAATAACAACAAAAATAAAAACCCCAGTCACACAGCTAGTGACCTGCAAGGCAGTCTGGACTTCAGGGTAAACTTTGGCTTCTATTACTTCCTCTCTCCTTTGGCTCAAAATGTGAGGAGCAATCATGCCCACCCCTAGGGCTGCTGTAAAGATGAAAATCTGGAGCAAGGGGCTGGTGGAGAGGGTATACTCCTGATAGGAGCCTTAGGGAGCAAGCATCTCTATTTAGTTTAATGAATCCAAAGTAGCTCCTCCAGAAGCAGAAGGCCTGCATGGCATATTTCTGTGGGCAAAGGCTCTCTGGGTGCGTTTTGGTTTAAGGGGACACAAGATGGACCGCGTTGACTCCAGGTCCACAGCTGATCCTAAATTGGATCTCACTACAGAGCAGAGCTTTCCAGGGTTTGTGCTCCTAATTATCACAGCCCGAGGATTCTACTTCTCTGGCCACTGATGTTTCACAGGGCCACGAGACCAGCCGTGGCTGTGGCTAGAGCACAGTGAGCAGACCTCATGGGTCCCTCTGCCTCCACTGCCTTCTCTCACAGGCAGCTCAAGAGATTGACCCTCCTCCACATTGTGGGTGGAGTAGATATCCATCAATCCATCCTCTCACATTTTCTCTAGAGCCATTGCAATGTGGAAGGTGTCATCACTGCTGCAGAGCCTACCTGATATTTATAAACATAAGGTACAGGTAGGGTGAACACTGTGTGTTTTCCTTTTGTTTCTTACATTTGTTCTACCTTGCATTCTATGTATTACTGCTATAATATTATTTATTATTGAGGCTGACTGTGACTTTATACGCTGTACTTTCCCGACTGAAGCCTCACTCAGCACAAGCTGTAAGATTTATTATTTTCATTTCCACTTCATAGTAAAAAAAAAAAAAAATGCTTGCTCAAGATCACATAATTGGTCTGAGGCATAGCCAGAACCAGAACCCAGGCAGTAGGATTCTGGTGAACAGCTTTTAGCCATTACCTTGTACTGTCTTTCTACTGTGAG